CATTTTAAAATTAGGTCAAGAGTAGGAGTTGGTTTGGTTTGTTAATTCCCAAATGATTTTTTTTTCTGTCTTTTTTCTGTCCAAAATCTAATTTCACATTTAGACATTGGAAACCAAACCTTTGATGTTTTTGTGGAAAGTCAGATTCCTTTTTATTTTTGTCTTCCACTGACCTTCTGACCACTGTGAAGTAGTAGCCAAAATATCAACTTTTACTGCAGAAACATAAAAATACATTTGTTTTGTGTTGTGAAATCCATATCTGTGGCACCGTTATCCTCAAAAATTGTAAAAATTTACGAGCAAACTGACGTAAAACATTTAACTCATGAGGGTTTATGGACTCTGAAAACAATTCCTGTTCCCACTCAGGCAACAGTGAAACTATTCTGAGCAACAAGGTTCTAAAATGAGAAGAATCTCATATATTTATGTTGCTGTATCCGCCTCATCTCCAACAACTGGTTCCTGTATTTGTTCTTTTTTTTCTCCCTAAAGCGTCTAATCACAAACTGCTGTTTGGGGCAAAGTTAATCTTAACAGGTTTCTCTTTCATGACTGTTCACAGAAGATGTCGCTGCCAAACTATGACCTTATAGCTGCACACAGAACCCTTTTCCTCATAAAGACTTAATGGAGAAATGTGCAAGAACATCTGTGTTATTCGGGTCCACACAAGTATCATGTCTGTTAACTATAAACCAGACAACCCTCGTTTGTCTCCTCACTTAAGATCAAGCTCCGAGTGGTAAAAACAATTTTAGTGGTCTTACTATGAATATATTTTCTACAAAGATTCACTGGTTGCAATGGATGACATCAGACACAAGTCATTTGAGTGAACAACAGTGGAAGACGAGGTTGAAAAGTGTTTTTACTTTTTTTGGAGAACAGCGTTGTTGTGTTCAAAACAGTGCAGCAGAGAGTTTTCCTATCACCGCAGTAGTGTACTGTGTAATGTAGCGTATGCCATTTTGTTAGGTATGGTAAACTGACAGGACATGGGACAACAAACTGCAGTACTTCAACATTGCTGTGTCACACCTGCGCTGCACTTCTTATCCACCTCACACCAATGAAAACGTTTCCTGCTTCACTTATTGTTACATGTTGTGACTGACGCAGACTTTGAAGAATTCCAGCTGACTGCTCATCATCACTTCCCATCAGTGGTATGAACAGGATGAATTGATAAAAGTGGACCACCAAACGATGTGTTCGTGTGGATGCTATCCCTATTTTTCCAGCCAAAGACAAACAACAAACAAAAGGAAACAGGTGAGTGGGAATGAGACTGTTCCTCTCTGTCTAACACCGGCCTCATTAGGTGGATGATTCTGGGAAAAGGAGCGAAATATTGTTGCAGTCATTAGGAGTTAGATGTGAACTTAAAACATCTTTGACTGTTGATCAGAGATAAGAAAATGTTCTTTTTGTGGTTTTGTTTAAGTAACAAGATTTGAAAAAAAATCTGAATTTTGAGTTAAATAGAGTTTATGTTTTATTGGCCAGTTCCGTTTACGATACTAGGACTAGTGCAGACTAGTAGAATCTAGTAAAATACTGCAATTTTTTTTTACATCCTCTTGTTTTTTTAATCAAATACTGACAAATAGTAATCGCTGTGTCCAACCTTTGACAGTAGGTTCTGTACTTCTGCCTGTTTACTGTTTCTTAGCTGAATGTTTTGTTCCTTTCTCCCAGCCTGGTCCTCAGATCCACAGGCAGAGTGTATCTCAGTGTTTTACTGTGGTTATGACAAGTACTGTACTTCAGTACTAGATCAGTCTGAATCCATAACAGAAGTTAAGGAAATGTTTACACAAACATTTACTTCAGAATCTCTTGTTCACCTGATCCTTCATCGGAGCCACGGAGATTCAATATTAAAAAAACAAAACAAAAAAAAACTCAGATGAACTCCTAAATTCAAATTCAAATGACCTTTAGTAGATAATGTAAGGCGTATATACTGCACTTCCCCATAGATGTGACTGTTATGGAAAATTAAAATGATTCAGAAAATGAGACAACAATCCACTAAATTAACATTTAATTTGTTGATTGTTTTTATATTGTAAACATTTTATTGGTTTTAAAGGATATTTGAGTATAGATTAAACTGGTACGTTTACTACTGGTGGCTCCCTCTAGTGGTTACTGGGAGAACGTGCTGGTTAGATTACGTTACATTTCGAAGACGCTTTTATTCAAAGCGTTCTATATGCGTACTTTCTCCCTTTGTGTGTGTGGTTTCAGAATTGAAACGTCAATAGATAGTACCACCTGTGTGTCTTTGGCTAAGAATAAACTTAATATTTCATTAATATTAAATCTTTTTTTCCTATATTGGTCTGAACAGTGTAGGTCTCCACTGTAACATTGAACACCAAACGTTTGTTTGTTGGAAACGTCTAACTGAGGCAGACGTGGATCAACACTCCCAGTGTCACGTGGTGAAGAATCGTTCTTTTGATGGATTTTGTTGCAGGAGGTTATGTGGACAACGCCGCGACAAAACACCGGTAAGAAACACTCTGACCCATTGTCACCCAACTCTCTCTCACCAGCGCAGGTGGTTCTGAATGTGTTATCACTTCTGACTGTGTGTCAGCATCACGTACAACCTCTCTTCAAAACAACAGATGTGGCTGAAATACACAAACGGCAAAATAGCAAGCCAAAAACTGCAAATTGTCTAAAGCTTTGTTAGTTTCCCAATTACCCGTGTTCCCAAACTCAGCAAGTGTTGGACGTGTGCACTCATTGCATCATGGAGCCCGGGGGGGAATGAGACGGCCTCACTGCTATGCACTCCGGTTTTATCCCTGATATGAATGTGGAAAATGGGGGTGTGAATTCTGGAATTTTTTTTTTTTTTGCCACAGCTGTGAGCAATGTTCAAAGTATCTGCTGCGTATCTGTGCATGTGGGTGCGCACGCAGCAGGACTCAGAGGGTCGCTGCCAGATTTAAGGCCAGGGAGAGGGTAGAGAGGAATCAGAGACGGTTGTTCTTGATGGAGGTTGAGTTTGTGTCGGTGCCCTGATTATTTACAAATAATATAATTAGTATTTCACACAGGAAAAAAAAGGTGTCTGTGTAATGCAGCACTGTGTGTGTGTGTTGGCATTGGTCCAGTGTGGTTCTGGAGAGGCCGACGGTGATAGTTTGTCATCCTGAGAAGAGCGTGAAATCTGAAGAACATTCTTTACTAAAGCAACGCACATTTTCAAATAAATCACATTTCAAACACTTTTCCTGTCTTTTCCTCCACACCTGAGTCCCTAGCGGAAGAGCAACTGTAGAGCTTCTTTCTCAAAGTCCTTTTGGCAAATATTTAACAGGACTTAGTTCTTATTCACATATGATCAACTGGCTGAGGTACTTTTGTCACAGGTTTCTGTTCTCACAGCCAACTTTTCTGCTCTTTCTTGCTAGCTTAAATATATCTTTAGGCTAAATATTAGCAACTCTGTTCTAGCTTTTAGCTACTGTGTTAAGAAAATATTAAAGCTAAGATTTGGAAGATTATTTTCTGATTTTTTTTGTCTTATAAATGGATAACTTTGTTAGAGTCAGCTACTTTTTGTGGTTATTGTTAGACTTGTTGTTGATGTTATTTATTTGTGTAACTCCATTGGGAGTCACTGTGATCACATTTTACTCCGAGCTTTTGGTAGTTCGTATGTTGATGCACTTGACATTGAACCTCATAATTCAGCCACAGCAACTTTAATGACACCATCAGTGACTTCTCTGTGCTATCAAATTCTTGTTACTGTCCCACAGAACCATTCTGTGGGTTTAAAGACATTGTGAAATAGTTCTGAATAGTTCTCACCTCCCATCGCTCTGACCACAGACATTATTCTACATCTGTAAAGTGAAACCATGCTGTTCCTCTCAAGGCCACATTTATTCTGTTTTAGCCCCTAGCTGTATGCAAAAAAGACAAAAACGGACAGGGCTGAGACGACGGCTGGAGGAACCAGTCAGTGATGCTGAAGTAAAAAAATACAGATATAAAATAATATCGAGTTAACTCGAATAGAAGAATCTGGATTTTCATTTTCTCTTTTCTCATCTTCACTTGACAAATTTGTGTAATTTTGTGGCAGTAGCTTTTGGTTTCATCTGAACCTAGGATGGGATCAGAGGAGACTCTCTGGAAAAAGTCTGGACTTTCCAAAACAGGAAACTTTTACGTTTTCTGGCAGAGTACAGTTTGTGGTTTTAAGGGGAAAAAAAGACACAACCACAGAGCAATGTAACATGAAGAAGCTGATTTGTAAATACTGTTTATTGACAGTTTAGTGCAGCTGCAGGATTTCCTAACTTATCAAGAAACGCAGACATACAGTAAAGCAAGTCCTTTTATTTAAAAATATAAATGTGTTTAGTCTTGTCCTCTTGTCATTGAATTTAGAACTAGATTTAGAGTTTTCTGAACTTTTTGAATGCCTGTTTTTTACTTTATTTGTAACCTAAGTTCAGAGACCATGTGACAACGTAAAAAGAAATCAAACAAATACTTCAGACTCCAATCTGAGAGAGGACGCAGAGAACACCAGAAAACCTGCAGCTGAACTGCACTGAAGTCAAGACGCTCTGCTGTAACGGCCAAACCCAAGTTCTATGTAGACTTTAAATCCTGACGGATTCAAAGAACTGCTGTGGTTGAATGAGAGTCTACTCAATCAAGGCCAGAGGGCAAAGGTCACGTTCCTATAGAATCTTTCCTGCCAGCACCGTGGTCATATTTCTGGACGTCAAACATCAACACGTCTACTGTCATCTGAGCACTGGTTTATTTAAGACGCCACTCATAACTCCATATTAATGCATCAACAGCAAATGTCTCACACACACACACACACACACACACACCAGTGACAGGCCTCTGCCTGAGAGATAATCTAAAGCTGTGTGAAAAATGTGCAGATCCACAGTCGTGTGTGTGTGTGTGTGTGTGTGTGTGTCAGTTGAGTGTGAACTCACCCGTGATCCAGATTTCTGCGTAGACACTTGTGGCAGATAACAGAGGAGCATAGACGTCAGCAGGTGAGACAAGGGCACGATGAGAAAGGCTGACAGGATCATGATGTCCTTGAGTTTGACTGTCTGTGTGTAGGTGTGTGTCCCACTGATGTCCAACAGACCCTGCACACACACACACACACACACACACCCACAGTTTACTCCTGGTGGTTCCCTGCGTCCTCAGGGTTTTCTTCTCCTCTCTCCTCTGCTCACACCTTTCTGTCTGTTCTTTGAAATCATGTCATTCTGATGCAGTTTCTTCTGTTTCTGATCAGCTGCTCATCGCTGCTTCCACAGGTTGAGTCCTGCCTGCTTCCATCTCATCCTCATTTAAAAGCAGAGGAGGGGGCAGTGGTCATGACTGACAGCTGAGGCTGACCAATCAGAGGGTGGGTGAGAGTCAAAGACACACCCACAGCACGCTGGTCCAAGACGTAGGTCTGAGCAGAGGAAGAGGAAGAGGAAGAGGAGAAGAAGCTGCCGAGGGATAGATTAAAGAGAGTAGAAATATTTAAAAAAGGGGAAAATAACAGGGACGCAGACAGTGACAGGGAGGGAAAAAGAAATGAAGCCAAGACAGAAAAGAGAGGAGGACAAATGATGAAGAAGCACACATTCTTATGAATGAAAAAGTAGAAATAGCTATGATAGAAACTGAGGAAGGAGGAGTAAGAAAGAACTAGTGAAGAGGGTGAGGTGGAGAGAAGGAGAAACAGGGAGGGATGAAGAGAGGGGGCGAACATAGAGGAGGAGGGAGGAAAAGAGAACAGGAAAATAAAAAAGGGAGGCTGAGACGAGGCATTTGGAGAAAAGGAGTGGAGGTAAGTAGAAGGAGGTGGGGGAGTTAGATGGGGTAGGAAGGAGACGAAGGCAGAAGGAGAGAGGAAAGGAAACTGTTTTTGAATTGAAGGTTCCCATATTTGAGCTAACTTTATAGTCCTGTTAGTGATAAATACTGATGAACGACTCAACTAATTAAAAACCAACTAAAGATCAAACTATGGTGACAGATGTTTAAGTCAAAAATAAATGGAGAAATGTAGTCAGCACCAGGAGGAGCCACTGTTTTACCCTGTGTCTTTAAGAACAGCAGAGACAATGAAGGGACAGCTGTGAGGTCAGGCTGTGAGGCTGTGCTCTCCATCCACTGAGCTAAAGCTCTGTAACAGCCCACTGACATCTGACCTGGTCACTGACCACATGAGAACATTTATAGATTAAAGTCAGTAGGAAAGTGCACACTGCTGAAACAAGCAGTCAGTCAGTCAGTCAGTCAGTCAATCAGTCAGTCAGTCAGTCAGTTATTGACTCATTAATTGAGGGAGTAACTCAATCAGTAAATGAGAGTTACTGAGTCAGTCAGTCATTGTGAGTTGTTTAATTGCAGTCACAGACTAGTCCATGACAATAGGCTCTAATGACATTTATCAGAAGTAAATAAAGTATTTTCTCTGATAAAGTATTTGTCCTTGTTACATATTAGTCCTGAGGTTAAATGTTAAACAGTGAGGCGTTAATACACTTCAGTGGCTGTGACTCCATGTGGCCTGTGAACCAGTGTGTTCCTAATGGGAAACAATAAACCACCACCATGTAGGGATAAAACTAGAGTCTGCTTTTAGATTCACTGTTATATAAAAGTTCTGCTGCTGCTCCCACACTGTAGTGTCCTCTGAACCTCTGTCCTCTCCCCCTCCTCACCCTCTCTTTCTCCATCTTTACTCTTTCAGATACATTGTGTGGCCCATTCAGAGCTAGTTCAAAAAAAAGAACAGAACAAGGAGCGGCTGAGTGTTTAGTGCAGGTGTCCTAGCTTCAGTCCACAGAAACGGGTCTTTTAAAGAGCTGAAAGGGGCCATCCGGTCAACACCCCCTCCCCTCCCTGCCTTCCTTACTCACTCTTTGTCCCATAGATATTTTTTAATTGTTAGCTATGACAGTTGAGCGGCTTTTCGAGTGCCTCAGTGAAGAGCCTTGTAATTAGAGCTATTGAGCTGCTGGAATTGGTACAATTAGGGTCAACATTAATGATTTCTGTGTGCACACCATTCAGGCCGTTCCAGAAAAGGCCCATTTTCTCAGAAAGGATGAAGAGGACTCAAGAAAAAGGTCAGAGGGAAGAAAGACTGAGGGGCAGTCAGATTATAAAGGGAGACAAACAGAAGCCTACATGAACTCAAGGCAGTGAAACATCTGGATTTTCACTTATTGGTCCACTTTAAACCCACCGTTGTCCGTGTAGTGTTATTGTCACAGCTGTGAGTGGTGGTTCTCCTCACTCATGTCCTAGTGTGTAGCAGTGGAGGAGCAGAAGTGTCTGGGAGAATGATAATGATGATTAATTAGTTAGACCACAGGTCTGTTCCAGTTCACACATCCATTCTCCTGTTCATACTGGTTATACTGGGTTACTGGTTTAAACATAAAACAAGTGGTAAAGAACACCACGTAGATGTTCAGAAGGTCAAGGGATCCACCAGTGTCTACCTCTCTGTTAGTTGGTAACTAGTTCAACCAGCAGCTAATTGTTTAGCTTCTCTAGTCCTGAGGATCACTCGGAGTACTTTACACTACAGGTTTCACCATCTACCTACCTGTCAGTGGGGGGCAGTGTTTCACCTACCAAGTCTGGAATCAATCAAGGACAACTGCAGTACCAGCTGAGCTGCAGCCATGCTGTGGGCAGAAACTGAGCTGGAAGATCAACTCCAACTCACGGAGACCCTCCCTCGCAGACATCAGGACCGACTGTGGTGAGTTCACCGATGTCTGGTTACTGTAGTTGCTTCCCTAAGTTGAATTAATACCTGTTGAGCAGGAGTTACTTGTATTTATTGAAGCAGGAAGATCCTGCAGAGAATGAACGTGGGAGAAATGTGTGTGATTTTGGCAGCAGTATCAGGTAGAACTCCATGTTTTAAAGCTCTAAGATGTGGAAAGAAACTAAAGGTATTCTTACACACCTGGATATACAGTAATTATTTCAATTCCTACATGTAAAATTAGTGGGCTTGTAAGTGCAGTAAGAATATTATAGTATATACTTTAATCTCACCTCATAATGTACTTGAGTAAATATTTACCACTTCACACTGCAGGACTATTTTCTTTATATACTGTATATATTTGATAGACCTTTGAAAATTAGGATTGACAAAAATAACCAATCACAGACCCTGGCTGGGAGCTGGCAATGGAAAATCCTAAAGTCAGATAAAAATAAAACAACAACTCCTTTTAAAGTCTGGGTCTGGATTTAATTTCATAAATTCCACATATTTCACATGTTCTGCCTGCAATTTTCACCAACTCCTGAAAACGGCATGTAGGGCTTTGACTGGTCAGCAGCAGCAGTAGTAATAATCCGCCCTCTTATTACCCTTGTCAAAGACACACTCTCACATGTAGAAACATGTGGGGAAAACACACAGCAACAAATAAACATCCAGAGAAAATTATCCCTGACATTAGTCAGAGCAGTGAGGGATAAAGAGAGTGGCCACATGGAGACAAGGGTGTGAAAAGACCTTTTGAGTCTGGACTGGGGTGTCCTGCACCTGTGCCGTCTTTTCACACCACTGTTTACACACTGTCATCCACAATTAATACCTCCTGGGGACTGGGCCGCCTGCCCTCCTCGGGGCCCCTGGACACATCCAGGGCCCTTATGGATGCCTAATTGAGCATACCACACCGCTGATTGAATTAACAGCTCTCTCTCTGGGACCTTTTCCCCTCTCTACTGAAGGGGGAGGGGGCCACTGTTCCACACCAGCATTAGAGCTCTGTACCATCAACACAGAGGACAGAGCTGAGGGAGGGGGGGGGGCAGTGGGGTGTTAGGGTCAGTTGTTGAAAGTGTCCAGAAAACCTGTCTTTTCTGTTGGCAAACAGAGGCTGGATATGTGAACAGGGGGGCAAACAGAGGTCTCTGTCTTCACAGGACCACTGAGGTCCACTAAAGACCGCTGAGGTCCAGCAGGGCACTGAGTGTGCAGGAGAAAGACTGGGCTGTTGAGGGAACTCTCACAACATCAGGACAATACTGGACATTTACATGTGAAAGCTTCTGTGCTGCTCACTTTCTCATAACCTCAGAGACAGTGGGCTGGAGGATATTCAGCCCACTGTCTGTTTACTGTGTCACTTCTATTGGCTTTGAAATTTTAATGAAGTCACAGAGTTCAAGTCCCGCATCAGAACGTACGTAAAACACCTGGACTAAAAGACTGCCGTGTAAGGCAAGGCCACGCACCGCAGCTCCCTCTGTAGAGCACTGTTTTGATACATTAGGACTCACTGTGCTTTACATTCTAGAACATTCCTGGTATTTGTGTGTGTGTGTGTATTATCATATATACACTCCTATATACTATATAGAGGATAGTTTAAATTGAAAACCAAACCTCTATTACTGACACGGAATTGTTGACAATTCTAAATAAACAGTGTCCATACATGTCATGACGTTCGCTCAGAAAGACAGTAAATGTGGGGTGGGCTTGTAGCCATTAGTGCTTGATTTTTGTTTAATGTCAAACCTGACGGTGAGAGTCATGATGACCTAGGTGTGTACAGCTTAAGTGACCTATCAAACTATGGAATTTGTTTTTGCGAAAAAAATCTGCATAAACCCTGGTGAACTGTATATGTGCTGTAGCAGCAGTAAATACATACAAGCATAATGTGTTACACAGTGATTGGCTGATATAAAATAAGCCATAAAACATTACTTATATACTGTAGGATTACATTTACTGACATGAGAAAGTGAAAAATCGCTATAAAAGTCACAGTGTGACCCACTGAGCATAAATGTAGTTTTATGAACTACTGTTTCCTCTTTGACACAAATTCATTGCAGTAGCAGTGGAAATACATTATAATGTGGAAAATGCCAGTTGTTGAAAGTGTCCAGAAAACCTGTCTTTTCTGTTGGCAAACAGAGGCTGGATATGTGAACAGGGGGGCAAACAGAGGTCTCTGTCTTCACAGGACCACTGAGGTCCACTAAAGACCGCTGAGGTCCAGCAGGGCACTGAGTGTGCAGGAGAAAGACTGGGCTGTTGAGGGAACTCTCACAACATCAGGACAATACTGGACATTTACATGTGAAAGCTTCTGTGCTGCTCACTTTCTCATAACCTCAGAGACAGTGGGCTGGAGGATATTCAGCCCACTGTCTGTTTACTGTGTCACTTCTATTGGCTTTGAAATTTTAATGAAGTCACAGAGTTCAAGTCCCGCATCAGAACGTACGTAAAACACCTGGACTAAAAGACTGCCGTGTAAGGCAAGGCCACGCACCGCAGCTCCCTCTGTAGAGCACTGTTTTGATACATTAGGACTCACTGTGCTTTACATTCTAGAACATTCCTGGTATTTGTGTGTGTGTGTGTATTATCATATATACACTCCTATATACTATATAGAGGATAGTTTAAATTGAAAACCAAACCTCTATTACTGACACGGAATTGTTGACAATTCTAAATAAACAGTGTCCATACATGTCATGACGTTCGCTCAGAAAGACAGTAAATGTGGGGTGGGCTTGTAGCCATTAGTGCTTGATTTTTGTTTAATGTCAAACCTGACGGTGAGAGTCATGATGACCTAGGTGTGTACAGCTTAAGTGACCTATCAAACTATGGAATTTGTTTTTGCGAAAAAAATCTGCATAAACCCTGGTGAACTGTATATGTGCTGTAGCAGCAGTAAATACATACAAGCATAATGTGTTACACAGTGATTGGCTGATATAAAATAAGCCATAAAACATTACTTATATACTGTAGGATTACATTTACTGACATGAGAAAGTGAAAAATCGCTATAAAAGTCACAGTGTGACCCACTGAGCATAAATGTAGTTTTATGAACTACTGTTTCCTCTTTGACACAAATTCATTGCAGTAGCAGTGGAAATACATTATAATGTGGAAAATGCGAAGCTGCTGGAGACGTGGTGTTGGCTGAATCTCTGTGTTTTCACTACTGTAATACAGTTTTCTTGTCTTTATCTGTGCTTGTCACACACAGAGCCGAGGCCCAGATCTGCCTCCTGAAGAGAAATAAAACGGGTGAGTTGATTTCAGCCGAGGCTGCTGACTGTCGAGGCCACTCAGCCAGAAATGCCGACTGATGGTTACTATGCCTCCGTCTATAAACTTTCAGATGAAACCATGCCTTTAGAAATGATTTTCTTTTAATGCGGTCAAAGTCGTGTAGTTCATCCAGACAGGACTGATGAAGAGCTGGCTGTGCTGTTAGAATTCCTCTCTTCTTAATCACTCACTGGCTGCTGAACACCATTGTCTACATGTAGCCAAAGAAAAATATTAACGTCATGTTACTTTGAGTCGGATCCAGAGCAACCTTTAACTTTATACCATTTTTTTTTTCAAAAATTTCACAATTCAAGTTGTTTAAACCCAGTGTTTGTTTTATTTTTTCAAGTAACAATAAGCTAGCATGCTAACAGGCTGGCTATTTTTGTCCAAATTAGTTTCATATTTTAAAAAAATGGCTGAAAACTTAATTTTTGGGTTTTTTTTGAAGTAGCATTTAATTTGAATATATTGCACTGAATGTATTAAATGCTGTATATGTATGTCAACAATCCATGTAATCTTTTCTTTAAACAGTTATAGGGGGTTACACCAATGTTTTAAAGACACACAGAGGCTAATTATAATGTTGGTTAATGGGACTTCTGCCAAATTTGTGTTCAAAGTTACAGCCATAATTGGAGGCCAGATAGTGAAATAATCCTGTGGTGTGAGATAATTATATATATTTTCTCATCTGTTAATCCAGAATTGTTATACTAATTCATATTCTCTGATCATTCTAGTGTCTAGGGACTGGTATTATCCATGTTCAGGGGTCTAGGTTGACATTTTTACTGGCTCTACAAGAAAAACTAAATAAAAGTAGAAATCTGAGTGCGTATGTTACACATGTAGCCCGTCCCCTGGTGCACTAGCAGAGTATGAATGAATGCTTCAAGCCCTCACCACCATCACCAGATGGTTTGCTGGACTGATCTCCATGACCGCTCCAGCAGCTCACCTCTCCATGAACTCCAGTGCAGCTTGGTGGAGGAGACCATGTCTGACCGAAAACAAAAACACAGAAGCTGTGTGGAGCAGAACCAGTGAGCTGTGCAGCCACCACACCAATGCTGCCCTTTTACCACCACCCTCCCAGACCCCGTTCCCTCAGTTAACAAGCCAGTCCGCACGTTCCCTGTTGTCGCTTGTTAGCCACTGTCCTCCTGCTGCAGCTGAAGGGTGGGGCCAATTAAACTGGTCCTGTTCGCGCAGCGGGTCAGAAGTTTAGTGGGTCATAATCACTGAGATTCTCATCACAGCATTACCTAATCCTGATTCAGCTGCTCTGACTGGATAAAACCAGAACAGTCAAACTGAAGTATGACCAACACCGGTCTCTCTCTGCTTAATAAAAGGCAGTGAGCCCATCTTTCCATCAGTCTGATGGTCCTGGCCCTGAAAAAGATGTTGAAGATCACAGTGTCTTCTTCTCTGGAAAAATGGATGTAGAAAAACAACTGTATTAACACTTGTTGACATTGGATTGGTGTTATAGGAGAATCAGAACGTGTTCTAAGTGCATTTAACAAAAAGTAATCAACCAGTCAAACTGCAACTGAATACTGCATGACACTTTATTATAAACAGTCAGTGGGTAAACATTAAATCGATGAATATCAGGGAGTGTTATTTAAAAAAAAAAAATTTAACTATTCGATGTAAACTTGTTTAAAAAAAAAAATTTAAAAATCATTTAACTATTCGATGTAAACTTGTTTAGTTAAATGTACACAGTAATAACGAAGGCAAGAACTTCCTGGTGATTGGCTATCTAACCTTCTTGAATCTGTTACTGTACTTCCCTCTAGTGGTTATCACAAGGAGTTACAGTCGTGTTACAAATTCGTACTCGACGGTTTGAGGCTTTTGACAAAATAAAAACATTTGAAATACAATTTGTACTTTATTCTATTCGTAGTTGACATTGGTTTCCCTTGTATAAAGCGATGCAATTGTTTTTAGTACAAATTACCAGTTGTATTAGCTAATAAAACATGAATGAATTTTACCCAGTAATTGGACATAAAAATAATTAGTAATATGAAGCCATTTTGATCACGTGATTCCATAAAAAGTACATAAACAAATGACGATATTTTGACAGCGGACAGATGGGGTCTGAGTGGTGACGTGTTTTTTTATAGAGCTTAAAGAAGTCAAAGGGGGGATTGTTGAGTTCAGTACATTTGCCACCAGAGGGCAGAGTTGAGGCAGAATGGCGGAAGGATGCTGCTGCTGAAAAGCAGGTGGAGACGGAGGGTGTTTACGGGAGACACCTCACTGAGGGATTAACACAGGAAACGCCGAGACCGTGTTTTGGCTGTTTTAACAAGAATTTCAGATTTTAAATCAGGATTTTTCATTTATTTTCTCTATCTTTTCTGTCGGTGAAGAACAGACGGCACACAGACCTGAGCAGGCTGCTCTTCTGCGACATCCTCCGTCTGCCTCTGTCGTGTTTGTGCTGCTGGAGGAGGAGGATGGAGAGATGATGTGATGCTCCATCTCTGGGCCGAGGACATGTCCCCCCCCGAATGAGACCTGATATTATGCGGGGAAGGAGGAGGGTGGACCAGACCGAAAGGGAACAAAGCAGCGGTTTAAAAGCCCTTCTACAAACTGGCAGGTTAGTGTGTCTGTGTTTTTACTGTTGTGCGACACAGTGGGACGTGTCACAAATGCCAGAACAACAGCAGTAAACAGTGGTTTAATAACAGAGCAGCGAACAGAAGGTAGGCGTCACCCAGCAGACATGGACATCTGAACAAATCAAGGCTGTTTTAATGTTGTCTGTGTCAGCTGCTCCTCCTGCTGACACTGTGAAAACACACCTACTGTAGGCCTCATCTGTGTGATGGATCCACATCACTACAGCACTGCACATCAGGTCTGACCACGGCGTGTTTACCAGCCGGGGAATCTTACATCCACACTCCACCATTGAGGCATTAATTATACATACTGCAGGTCTACGCTTAGGGTTTCTTTCACGGTGATAGTGTGATATAGAGTGAAACATCTTACTGTGAGTAATCAATTTCTCTCAGCCTAGTAACTCTGCTAAAAATAGAGCCTCTATTAAAGGCTCTGTGGTGTTTCTGTGTTTTATGTCACTTCCCTGGAGGGAAAAATGTCTCATCTGCTGTAATGTCAGTGTGGGGAGGAACATGTGTTCATGCATGTTTGGAGCTCTATCACTGCTGTTACATCCCCCTCCCCCCACAGTCTCTTTAAGCTCTGGCTGGAGGAAATACTCTTCTAATTACAAACAGTATGAACCTGTTTTGTCCTGTGTATGGTTCACAGCTCCTCCTCTCCCTCTCCCTTTCTACTTGCAGCATCAGCCAACTATGGTGGATCCCTCGGAGGCTGAGGAGCAGAACAAGTGTAAAGGCCCACACCTCGACGCTCCAGCTGTGGCTACAGAAGAACCTCGGTTGCCAGAAGAAGCTGATGGTGCAACAACAGAGGAGGATGGAGATGCTGGGTTTGAAACGCCACCCACTGGCAGCGCTGGGCCCAGTCCCTGCCACGTCGCTAGCTCGGCAGCAACAGAAGCCGCCCCTCAGGGGCCAGCGCCTCAGCCTCAACCTCAGCCTCAGCCTCAGCCTCAGCCTCAGCCTCCTCAGCCACAGACTGAGGCAGATGTCTCACCAAAGTTGCACCTCGACCTGTACAACTTTGACTCTCCAGCTGCTGAGGGCAGCCGATACGTTCTGACGAGCCCTCGCTCTCTGGAGGCGTGCGCTCGATGTGGCGTCAAACCTGTGGAACTGCTTCCTCGGCCTCTCTCTGACTTTGCCCGGGAGGCCCCTGGGCGCTCCATGCGCGTGGCCACAGGGCTGTTTGAGATCTACGAGAAGGACAGGCACGCAAAGCTGCGCCAGTGCCGAGAGGAGAGAGAGAGAATCATCAGGGAGGAGAAACGAAGGATTCTGCAGGCAGCGGTCAACAGCAGTAACGGAGTTACACCTTCATCTGTGAACACGCCCCCTGCTGGGACCAGTCAACCCCTTACATCTGTGCCAGTGAGCTGTAGCTCATCTTCAGGAGATGGTGTGACCTTCTCCAAAGACTTAACATCTCCTCCGACCTCTAAAACAAGTCTTTTACCGAAAAGTTGTGCTGATAGTCTGGGTCCTGCCCCGAAGTCTTCCCATCCAGTGTCCCCTCAGTCTTCAAAAACTGCTTCTTCACCCTCTTTACCACCTTCCAAGACCACTTACCAAGGATTTACCAAGCGTCCTTTGTCCTCTTCCACTGAGCGAGTGAAGGCGTCACGATCACTCTCCTCTGGCCCTCCACCAGTTATCAGGAAATCCTCAGGAAGTAAATCTTCAAACACTTTCCCCAGAACGTCTCCAAAACCGCCGTCCTTCCCCAGAGCCAACACTACACTAACAACGTCCGTGTCAAAGCCAGCGGCTAAGAGCCGTGGGACTTCTCCTAACGGTGTCACGGCGCGGCAGTTTTCCCATCACAATGGACATGTCAAACTTCATTCTCGATCCAGAGTAAAGAGCCATTCCTTGGAGTCCTTACAACGAAAGATTGATCCCGTATGCTGCTCCACCTCCACCACAACCACCACCACATGTACCTCCTCAGAGTCAGGAGCCTCCTCCTCCTACAGCTGGGATGGAGCACGAGATCGCTGGATTAAAGCGTTCTGCCCTAGAGCTCGCACTCTGGCGACTTTCAACTCCCTGATGGGCCGGAGCCTCAGCCTGGGTGACCTGAGCCACTCTCCTCACACCACACAGAAGGTGGAGCGCATCTTGAAGGAGGTGAAGCGTCAAGGCCTGAAGGCGGTGTCCGAGCGAGACCGCAAAATCGCAGCTCTGATGCTCGCTAGGTTTCAGGAAGAAGACATCATGAGTCAGACTCGCTACGTCGCTCACCTCCAGTGGGACAGTGAGCGTAGAAAGGAGGAGCTACGGAGAGAGCAGGAGGAGAGGGAGAAGCAGCGTGCAATGCTTCAGTGCCAGAGAGTGTGGCAAACACAGGTGTCGATACGCCAGCGAAGGCTGAGCCAGCAGGAGAAAGAATCGGCAGCTGCCAAAATGCGACAGGCAGAGGAGAGCGAGGAGCGATGGAGGGAGCTGGCAGAGCAGCAGGAGCGCAGTCGTCTCCTGAAGCTGCAGCAGGCGGCACGGGAGGAAAAGCACAAAAAAGCACTTCAAGAGCAGAACCTGAAGGCTCTGGAGGAGGAGAGGGCGGCTGTGCTGGAGCAGGAGAGGCTGCTGCTGAAGGAGAAGCTCACCATGGCTGAGCTGAAGAGGCAGGAGAAGGAGCACCAAGCCCAGGAGGAGAGACGAGGCCTAAACAAGGCTGAGAAGAGACGTCATGCTGCCCTGGTCCAGGAAATTGCTCGCAGGGAGCAGGAGGAGAGGGAGGAGGCCAGGAGGAATGCGGAGGAGAAGCTCAGCCGCTCCCTGGAGAACTATGAACAGATAGTTGAACGACGAGCGCAGGAGCTGAAGGAAAAGGCCAAACGTGAGGAGAAGCAGATCGAGAAGGCACGCAGGGCTGCGGAGAAGCGTGAGAAGCAGCAGCAGCAGCTGATAGAGGCCCGTGCGAAGGAGGCGGAGAAACGAGCTCATCAGGCAGCGTTAGTGGCTGAGGTCAGGGCCAAAGAGAAGGCTCAGAGGGCCGTCCAGAGCCGACAGGAGAAGGAGAGACTCCAGAAACTCAACAGGCAGAGGGTGGAGGAGGAGGAGAAGCAAAGACGTCTGGAGCTGCTGCAGTCCATCGAGAGAAAGCTGGAGAAGAGTGAGCAGATTTTTAAAGAAAAGAAGGCCGTGCTGGAGAGCGCTCGCTCCGTGGCCAGAGCATCTTTTCATGTGAGGGACAAAGTGCGTGAGGAGACCAACATGCGCACATTTGACAAAATGGCCCTCGAAGCTCAGCTGAAAGCTGGTCTGGATGAGAAATAAACCCATAAGTGTTTGCTGTGAACTCCATTCCTGGTCACGTGCTTCTGGTCAAGGCTCTCACCTCATCATGGCCCTCATCAGTCGACAGCTCTTACCTGTTCAAGTTTCCTGACATGCCTTCACCCATCAGGTGGAGGTCAGATGATGATCCTCTGTCATGGTTGTATAAAGAAAACAAAGTATATCATCAGCAATGCCTGTTCAGAACTGCTGTGTGCTTCATATTAGATTAGAAGAATGACTGTAATCTGTGTCTTTACACTGGATGAGGTTCTCGGTGCATCACTACTGGGATGAGGACTTGCTCAAAGACCACTCCCCAGTTGTTTATCCTTTGATTTGATTAAAACTGATCTGGTGGTGAGTTCCATGTTAATCCGAGCGATTCGGGCTGTTTTATAATGATCAGATCCTGAGTGTGATGGTCTGGCTCTGCAGTGTCTGTGTTTGTTTGAGGCAACAAACGTGCACTGCAGTATCAGTTACTTAAGTACTGATCTGAACCAAACCGATGATGTTAGAACCAAATGTGTGACCTAAGAGTGTAGAGTCAGATGCTGACTCCAACACTGTCACTCTGTCTTTCATTCATTCAATGCTGACTCTTTTGTCTGTCAGCAGCATTGACTGAAGCACAACTCCATTACTACAAGGCTTTTAAGATGGAGAATCAACCAAAAGAGGAATTGAAAGCAGGACAGTAATGCTTCTTTATCCCTGAAGCAACTAAAGGATCTTTTTTTATCTCAGATCTCAGAAAATGAAGCCTAAGGCTAGACATGTGTCTGGACCAAACCAGTGACAATCAGACATGGTGTACCAGAGAGTTCTGTGCAAAGTATCAAGAGGCAACTGCATCAACATCAAAAGACCTTAAACACTCACCTCTTCAATTCAGATTACTGAACTGTGTTCAAGATCAATTGTGCCACCTCCTGACAACATGCTACCAGCACAGCTGTCTTACATCAAAGGTAGGAGGTTTTATTTCCTATTTTGTTTTGCCAATACTGTTTTGAAATGACATGCAAAACTAGCATTTTGTCAAAAAAATTCAAAACAAATCCCCAGAATGCTTAGTTTTTTACCAAAAATTACAATAGAAATTTTCATATTTTGACAGAAATTAAAAAAAAAAAAAATTTCAAAAAATGTTCTATAAATGCCCTTATTTGATAAGAAACATCCAGGAAAAAATAAAAAAAATATTAAAAATTTTCTTCAAACCTTTTTAGTTTTTGATCAGAAATGACACAAACAGTTCACATTTTGACAGTAGATTTTAAGGAAAAATATTTGTAAAAATGTTTTCTAAAAGCACAAATTTTATGAGAAACATGCAATAAAAGATACAATTTTAAAAAATAATTTTACAAAAATTTACATCAAACATTTTTAGATTTTGATCAGAAATGACAAAAAGTTCACATTTTGACAAAAGATTTTATAGAATTAAATGTCTAAACATGTTCTGTAAATCCCCTTATTTTATGAGAAACATACAGGAAAAGATACAGTTTTAAAAAATAATTCTACAAAAGTTTTCATCAAACCTTTTGTTTTTGACCAAAAAAAGTCACAAAAAGTTCACATTTTGACAGAAAAGTTAATGGAAAAACTTGAGAAACATGCAAGAAAAGATAAAATTAAGAAAAATAATTTTTCAAAGTTTTGTCAAACTTTTTTAGTTTTTGACCTGAAATGACACAAAAAGTTCACATTATGACAGAAAAGTTTAAAGAAAATTTCTAACTTTCTAATTTCTGAACATTTCTAAAAAGATAGATAGATAAAATCTGGTCTGATAGATAAAGATACAATTTTGAAAAATATTTGTTTGAAAATCTTCATCAAAATTTATTAGTTTTTGACCAAAAATGACATGAAGAGTTCACTTTTTGACCGAAATTTTTATAGAAAAGAATTTCTAAAAATGTTCTCTAAATGTCCTAATTTTATTAGAAACATGCAGGTAAAGATAGAATTTAAAAAAAATAATTTTATTATAATTTTTTGTCAAACTTTTTTAGTTTTTGACCAGAAATGACACAGAAAGTTCACATTTTGACAGAAAGTTTTATTGAATAAAATTTCTAAAAATGTTCTCTAAATGCCCTAATTTTATGATAAAAATGCAAAAAAAGATACAATCTAAAATAGATAATTTAACAAAAATTTTCGTCAAACGTTTTAGTTTTTGATCGGAAATGACACAAAAAGTTCACATTTTGACAGAAAATGTTATAGAAAAAAATTCTAAAAATGTTCTATAAATGCTCTTATTTAATGAGAAACATGAAGGAAAAGATACAATTAAAACAAAAGTTTTTTTAAGTGTTTGTCAAACCTTTTTAGTTTTTGACCAAAAATGACACAGTAAACTTACTGTGTCATTTTGACACATTTTGACAAAAGATTTTATAGAAAAAAACTTCTAAACATGTTCTCTAAATTCCCTAATTTTATGAGAAACATGCAAGAAAAGATAAAATTAAAAAAAAATATTTTTTCAAAACGTTTTGTCAAACCTTTTTAGTTTTTGACCTGAAATGACACAAAAAGTTCACATTTTGACAGAAAATTTTATAGAAAAAAATTTCTAAAAATGTTCTCTAGATGCCCTAATTTTATAAGAAACATCCAGGAAAAGATAATATAAAAATACAAAAATTATTAAATATTTTCTTCAAACTTTTTTAGTTTTTGACTGGAAATCACACAAATAGTTCACATTTTGACAGAAAAAAATTTCTAAAAATGTTCTCT